TGTGTGTAGTGATTTGTTTTCATTTTCTTGTTTTTATGTTTTGTTAAATAAAAAAGATGCAACAGTATACAACGAAGTATTATTTGTTATTGATCAAATATCTTTGATATTATTTGGTGTTCCAATTTTTAATAGAACAGATTTGACAATATATTCCGATTTTGAGGCAGGTTTTATAAAATCTATTAAAGATTTGAGTTGTCAAATGAAAGGGTGTTATTTCCATTTTACACAATGTTTGTGGCAGAAAATTCAAAACTTTGGCTTGTCTGAAAAATATAAGTGTAATGGGCAAATTTCCAAAGAAGTAGGAAGACTTATGACACTTCTTTTTTTGAAAGAAACAGATTTAAAACATCAATGTTATATATAACAATCACTTTAAAAGATAAAGATTCTTTTGTTGTTTATGAATATTTCGAAAACACTTGGTTAAATAATGTAATGATTTCGATTTGGTGCCATTATGATTCAGTGATGCGCACCAACAATATAGCAGAATCCTTTCACAGCATGCTTTCTCGAACTATTCTTACACCAAAACCATCTTTTGAAAAATTTATCGATCATTTGTTGGATATTATAAATGAGACCGACATAAAAGTTCAAACTGAAATGAGAAATACAAAAAGTAAGAAAACCAAAGAAGAAACCACTACGAAGTGTACTGAAATGTTAGTCAATCGGTTTTACACTGATAAAATAATAAATTGTAATGTTGAATTGTTGTTAGATACCATTTTTGCAAAACTTCATTCTAAAAACTTATTTGAATGCTTTTTTGAATCTGAAGGAGAAACACTTGAAAGTATTAATTCAAAAAAGATTCAAAATATAGTCGGTTGTACACAAATAGATTGTGTAATAATTAAAAAAAGAAATGGATAATAATATCGAGTATTGAACAAATAATAACGAACGATTCAAGCCAACCGAATTTGATATGTGAAATAGAAATTGAAACTGCTGATAATTCAAATATGCCCAATTGTTATTTTCAAAGTGCTCCAAAGTTGAATGAAAATAAAACAAAAAAACAACTGCTTGCTATTAACAAAAAGACAAAAGAAGTTGAGAAAAAGTTTGGCAAACAAAAACGCCAAACCAAAAAATAATTGATTATGAACTTTCACGTGTTTTGTAGTTTTTGTTTTTTATATTTTTAGTTTATTGTAAGTCAAAAAAAATAAAAATGCATTATGTGTTGAAAAGAATGTTCTGTTAAAATTGGGAGAACTAATCATGGGATAAAAAATTATCCACCGTTTTATCATTTTCGTTTTATATATATAATGTTAAATATGTGCGCCACCAAATTCAATACACAACACTGTTTATTCTTTTGGTATAACAATAAGTATTTACGACATTCAATATAAAAAACTTTAAAGAAGTTAAAAATTACTTTTTGTGTCATTTCCTGAAAAGAAAATCTTAACATACAATACACAACAAAACAAAACAAAAACAGTATTTGGATAAATATAACAATGTTTATTTTTCTTGTAGAATAATCGTTGATTTTTTTAAATAAAGTAATGAACACTTTAAAGATGATGTGTTAATTAACAATGGTGTTTAGCTAACCAACAATAATACGTTTAATTTTTTTTATACATTTGATTTTTGATCGACACAATTAATGTTTAAATATAATGAACAACTAAATTTATTACTATTTAATAATTAATAATTTATTTATAATAAATAACTAAGGAAAATATTATTCTAACTTAATGATTTAATTATAGTAAAAAAACAATGAAACAAAATTTTTTTGTTATAAAAACTATCAATTTACTAATAGTGTGATATAAAAAACAATTATAATAAAAAACTATAAATACTATAATTTAAATCCAAACAATAAATAAAATCTTTACAAAATGCAAAGAACCAAACACACAATACAATAACATTATTTTGACCCATCTTTTTTGTCTAAAAAGTCGAGCATTTCTTGAGGGATCTCAAAAGTATTTTCTTCATTTTTTATATCCATTTTCTTAGTTGTAATAAACGTAGAAGGAATTTCAAAAGAACAATTTGAGTCTCCTCTTTCTTTTCTCTCAAAATGGATTTTTTTGTCGTTTGAAGTAACCGCCCTTTTCTGAATTGTTTCGTTGTAAAACTGTGAAGATATTTCTTCATATTTTTGTTTGTAATAATCTGCTTCGTTTTGAACTTGTTCGAGTGCTTTTTCCGTCCTTTTCAAAGTTGTTTGCAACTGCAAAATTTTTTCTTCCATTTCCGAATATGAAAATTTGGAAGTCACAACTGGTCGCTTTTTTGTTAAACAAATTTGAGTGACTTGGTGGACCTTTGATGTACTTTGCTTTTGGCAATAAAAAGGAATTTTGATATAACGAGTCTTCTTGTGTTGATTCTTTGGATTTTTCATTAGCAACTTTTGTAATAGGTAACGGTATATAAATTTGTTCGAGTGGTGAAGAACTTTTTGTGGGTTGATTTTCAGTGCGCAAAATTTCGACTTTGTCATTTTTTTGATCATTTTTTGATTTTTCATTTTCGTTTGTAAAAATTTGTGAATTTTCTTTTTCAATTATTTTTGAAAAATTCGATTTTTCAGTTTTTGAAAGATTCGAAGTGTCACATAAAAGTTTTTCTTCACTTTGGTCACCCAACGAGTCGAACAACTTTTCTTCAAAAATATCACAATTAATGGACGACAGTGACGATAAACTGTCCATTTTATGAAATTTTTATGTTACAAGGGTTTTTCTTAGTTTTAAGATAATTATAATAAAAATAAAAAACAACCAATTGTATTTATTCTTATATTTTTTTTATTATTATAACAACAAATTTTTATTATTTTATTTCTGTATGAAATTATATAATGACATCAAATGTCTTAAAAACATGCATGTCTTGTAAGTGTTATAGTTTACAACAGTTTTATAACAAAGTCTTACAAACACACATAATATTAATTTCAAATTATGAATGATGTGGTTTATTTTATTAATTAAATAGTATTAATAACATCCACAACGAATAAGCATATATCAAATAAATGTTTTCACATTATAATATTAAAATTAACAAATATTAATTTAATACTTCTCGACAATGAAAAACAAAAAACGGAAAAATTTTGGATTGTTTTTTTCCAGACATTTAAAAACATGAAAATAAACTTAAATAACACACAAATTACATGAACAACTCAGCAGTTTACAATCCACTCACGGTCCCAACTGTACCTATTATCGAAAGTCAAACTTATCAACAAGTTGATTACAAACAACAAAATTCTTTTCAATCTTCTCATAATCAAGGAGTAATTGACTCTGAATCTCAACCACCTCAATATGAAGAAAATTATAATCAAAATGCACCAATCTATGCTCAACAAACAGTCCAAGACACTAACACATTTGAAGAGAAAAACAACAGAACAGTTATTATTATGTTTGTTCTTGGGTTAATTTTTTACGTCCCTTTGGTGATCAGTTTTGTGTTGTCAAGAAGAACAACAAACAAGAAAATAAGAACACTCGGCTGGGTGGCGTTCTCTTTATATTTGGTTTTCGGTGCGATCATTTGCTGTATTCCTATGATGATTATTTTTTGAATTTGGATAAATTTTATTTATTAAAATAAACAAAATTTATTTATTTGTCAAATTGTTATTGAGTAACAAATGGAAAGAAGTCCAGCTCGTAAGTAAAATATAGTAAATTATAATGTTTATTGCTATAATTTTAAAAACATTTTGTAATATACCAAAAACATTAATTAAAACTCTGAAAAACAAAAAATAGAAACTAATAATAAATGGTTGTTTATAATATTATATAGTTATTCTTATCTAGCCAGACTTTTTTCTATTTACTATATAATAAAGTAAAATAATTAATTTTTAAAACATGTAATTTATAAACTATAATAATTTAATTATAGTCTGTTTGAAAACCTTATTTATTTTTTTCAGTCTATTATAAATGAAAACAATCTTAACTTAAGGAAAAAGATAAGCTTCAAAAAGGGATATTATAAATATAACTATTTCAAAACTTTATAACCAATAACACAACGAATAACATAAATAAAGTTTTGTCCATTCGACCAATTATTTTAAAACATCTAAAAGCTAAATAATAGTTAATTTGGTAATAAATCTGAGATAAATAATAAAAAAACGTTGCAAACAAACTGAGTTTATTGGCATCGTTTACTTGAAAAGTTGTGATTTTTAGCCACTTGTACTTTTCGACATCATAAATACACTCTTCAAAAATAGTAAAGTGACGTCCACAGTCAAAACCATTTCACATTGGTAACTTTAACTCGACCGCAGAACTTCGATTCGATGTTTGAGTTTGCAAATTGCGTTGTTCCTTTTGTTTATGATTTGTCTTGTTGTTTTCTATTTCTTAGGCAAAAAAATGAAATTGTTTGTTGTCGAATTCCATGTTGTGTCTTATTGTTTAGATCATCATATTAATAATAAAAGGGTTTGCTTAACAGTTGTTTGTGACAGAAGCTTTTTTCTGTTTTTTATCAACAAAAAAATAAATTGATCAAACTGTCCAAGTTCGTTTTGATTAAATAAATCAAGATTTATAATAAACTGAATAAATTTAAAAACAAAACCTAATAACAAAAATTATAACCTATTTTTGGCAATAAGTTAAGATTTGCGAACACTACAGTCAGTCTAACAACGTTATTTGCTCGGAAACGTGACCTTGTACCTTTTTGATTATACTAAATGTATAATTATGTATAATCGTTCTGAAAAACATACCATTGTTTTATTATTTTACATTTTTTGAATTTTTACTCAACTTTCATTTTTTAACAAAAACACAGCCATTAAATTCTGATCAAAAAACGTTTTCGAACAGAAAGCGTTGTTAGACTGATTCTATTACAATTATTAAAAAAACGTTTTTTAAATGTGTTGTTGTTTTAAATAGGTATTTAAAATTAAAAAACAAATAAAAATTAATAATAACAATAATATAATAAAATTATGCTGGATTTGTATCCTTCCAAGTCCCTAAATCGACACGATGTCTCAAATTTAAATTTCTAGCGACGATAAAACCTTTTGGTCCCATTCCACTGATAGCTCCATACTCAGCATTTTCTGCTTGTTTCCGAATGTTTTCGATGTTATCATATATTGTTTGAAATGGGATATAAGAGTTGAGAGCAATAAGACAGGGTTGTATGAGTGGAGTATAAAAAGGTATACCATAAGGGCCATAAAAACACAAATCAAGAGCTAAAACCATTTGTCTCTGCACTTCTTCAATTGCTTTTGTTTGGAGCTCAAGGGGTATTATTGAACCTTCAGATCCAGGTTGTGCCAATGGCGGCTGCATAGCAAAATTGGCAATACCTCCGACACCCGTACAACTTTTGGATGCACTTACTATATCACTTGGAGAAATGATGTTTACACCAACTAACCCTAGTACTTTCTTTATCAAAGGATTGTCAAGAGGTCCTTTTGCGTTCACAAAGGTTGTTAAAGAAATTAAAAACACAACACAAAGCTTCATAATATTGTCAATTTAAGTTTCAAAAACACCATTTTTATATTTACTTGTTTTGTATAAGATTTAAAAGCAAAAGAATTAAAACAATTAGATGTTTATTGATGAATCATTATATCAATCAACTCAAAATGGTTTTTAATTTTGTTTGATATTCAATTATAGTTTTGTTATTTTTACATGATATTTAGTTATAAATTAAATAAAAAGACGTGTAATCCACTTTTATAAATTCCGAAATTAATATTTTCTATATTATTTTTTTATAATTATTTAACAACACGCTTTTTGAAAATTCTTTTCAATAAATTAAGGTTAAACACGTTTCGTTGTTTTTTCTAATTATATATCATAATAAAACTAATTAAAATAATAAATTAATAGTAATTTTGAGTTTGAAAAATAACACGTGAAACTTATTTTTAGATTATGTTTTTTATATTATTTTTCATTAACAATTTATTTGGTGGTATAATATATAATAAAATATGCAATTTATTATAATAATAGTTTTTCAAGGCCTGTATTTATTTTCTTAATAGCTGTTCGGCGACTTTATAGTTTCTTTGAAAATCGCCGACTTTTCAGTGGTCTTAAAAGTCGCTGACCTAAATATTTAGTTAAATAACTATTCAAAATACAGTAAAACCTCCCAAGAGCGGTACCTCTGAAGAGCGGGTTCTCTCAAGAGCGGGCATTTTTTAGACTGAAACTAAAAATAGAGTTCTCTATCGAGCGGTTTATAAGGTTTGATTGGCTAAAAATGCCCG